CTATAGGCAGAAGATTAAATTAATTTGTAACTCTTTTTTTTTTTTTTTTTCCGTCCTGCATTGCTAAATCCCGCACATTTAATTGAAACCCTACTTCAAGATGCTTTGTGTTTCTGTTCATCTTTGTTGTCAGTTTAACCTCAGAAGCACTTTAACGCTGGTAAATTGCTGTTATATCCTTTTGGATTTTCTCTTTCTTTCTTTTTTTTTTTTTTTTTTTCCTTAAACTGAGCAATAAGAGGACGGTAAAATTGATATTAGAAGGAAAGAAAAATCTCGGAGTAGTTTTTGAGGTATTTAATATTTATTAAGGTCCATACCCTGCAGAGTTTCAGGTGATTTTAAGCCGTCTATCTAGGAATGGATAAATTGGTCTTGGAAGGAAATTTCACCCAGGGAATTTGATGTTATCCAGTAGTTAAGTCTGATTTTAAAGTTTCCCATGTCTGAAGGTTCCAAAGTGACGGCAGCTTCTCCATAAAACGAGGGTTTAACTGCGGTGCACAATCTAAATGCAAAATCCTCAGATGGAAATTTAATTGTGCAAAATGTGCACGAGGTAATTAAGAACAAATTTTAGAACATTTCAGACCATAAAGTCCTCCTTCAGCTGGATCACGAGCGATATTGTGAGTGCTTATTTTCAATTTGCAGTTATGCTGAGAAACATGGAATGTGTCTAAATTAAGAATAAAAGCATCCCTTGCTTTTCAGTGTCACTGTAAATTAAAAAGCAACTCGCACAACACAGCAGCTACTGATCTAAGTGGGGGACTTTATTGCCCGAGCGCCCTAAAGATATGTTTTGGGTTTCCTTCCCTCAGCCCCTTTCTGAGCAGGACGAGGACTTGCTGCTGCTGTAATTCTTATTCAGTGTGCAGGAAAGCAACCTGGGGAAAATGGTTTGTTAGCAAGGATTTCTGGGTTTCCAGTTTGAGCTCCAGAATGGTTAATTATGTTTTTCCAACGAGTCGTTTTGATTTTGTCTTCACTTATCTGCACGTTAAGTGTACGTTTTTAATTGAGAACAGGTTGAGCCTGGTTGGAGCTGTTTTCCAGCTCTTCTTACAGCTGCTCAGCACAAAGGCTTCGGGCACCTCCCTCTACCAGAACTGCCCTCACCCTGATGCTGGCTGCCCTGACCCCACCAAACACTGGCTGCCTCTTGGTTTTTGCTTTTCTTTCTGTGTTCTTAGCGCATCTTGACCCAATCTGACCAACTGTACCTCTGCGTTTTATTGGCTCGTTTTGGAGTGTTTATGTCTCATTTTATCAGTTGCTGTTTTAAATCCTGATGGTGCTCCCTGTGCATCCCTCTGCACCCCTCCGAGTCTCAGCAAATGCTCCTATCAGGGACTGCATAGCAGAAATCATTTTTTAGGACACAACTTCACTGATCCCCATGAAGATGAGTGTTTGGAGTGCTCTGATTCTGATGGGCTGCTTTATGTCTAAGCAAGTAATAGTTAAAAGGAAAAAAAAATGCAGAGGCACGCAGTTGCTCTGAAGTGAAATAGTGAAGGGAAATGTTACTCTGACATATTTCTTGCTGGTATGGTTTGATTCCCGTTTATATTTCTGTACCACGCTGGCAGTGCAATTCACTGTGCCTTTTCAAAATGAGGTTTTTTACAGTCCTTGTGCAGTGTGAAGGGGCCCACAGGGAAATGAGAAGCAGCACCTCGGAGTCTGAGCGTTCCCTTCTCTCCTCTGTAATATCCAGAGCCACATGAAGCAGCAGTCAGTTCCTGTCCCTAACTACTGAAAACTGAAATGTTATATTTTGGCTACGATGCCTTAAAAACAGAACTAGAAGTTCCCAAGTTGCCTCATGTGAACGCAGAGAAGTTTTTGACGCTGTTTTAACTTTGTAGTTTACATTTTCTACGTTCTGCTTTAAGCTGAGTTGCACATGCTTAAATGCCTTCCTGGAGTCAGGATGATGGAGGGTACAGAAATCCCTTTAGTAAAGCTCTAATCTGTTTGTTTTGGGGTTTTTTCTTTCTTTGCTTTCACTGTGACACTATTTATAAATCTGAATCTACGTACAGAGGTCATTGGTTGGCTGAACTTAAACCATTTTACTTAGTAAATTTAATTAAGAAAATACAGTGCAACTCATAAGCAAATGAGTTTTTCCTAGTTTTAAACCAAACCACCCTCTTGAGTGCTGATTGCCTTGCTCGACCCCTGGTGATATAGAAACAGGCAAAATTAAAAAGGACATTAAAGCTTCATTAAATCTGAAACACATTTAGTACAGTGACATATCTGCAGGCTATTTCAGGGAAGATTACATACTCTTTGGTAAGTTTCTTAATTTATAATACCTTGACAATCTTGCAGGAGGGAAACAACTCTGACTGGATGAACTGAGTGATGGTTCTGGGGATGCAGAACTGCTGCTCGACCCATCTGGGGCTGCACTGCTCTGCAGTTCTCAGGGAGCAGTTCGCCAAGCACAGTCTGTCTTTGTTAACAGCCCCCAAAGAACTCGTGCCCAATGCATTTTGGATTCTTGGGGGGCTCATTTGTAAGCTGCATACCTCAATCTGGCTGAGAACTGCTCTTTCCCCAGTTGTTCAGCAGCTTTTGGAGTCACATAGGCAAAGCCCTACTGTAACATGCAGTGGTCAGGGAAAGGAATCATCCCTGAGGGCAGGGATGCTCAGTCTGAAGCTAGCATTGAGGTAGTGGTAGGTTTTCTGCTTAAAGAAGGCCTGCAGAACGATATCTTATGTGTAGAGCCATAATTATCTTGTTTTTATTTATACTGTGGAATAAGTATGATGTGCCTACAAATCTGTAGCTGTTGTCATAACTGTTCTTAAGTCAGTAGTCATTGGGAAAATTAAGTTTTCTTCTGGTTTTGTTTGTTGTAAAGTGTTTATTTGGCATTTGTGGGATTATCGTTAGGCAGAGGGTATTGCGGCAGCAGTGCTTTGTAGGATCTTGGGCAGCTTCCTGTAAGTTGAGGATGGTCCTCCAAGGAGATGAGAAAACGGAGAAGGGAACTGTTCTGTATGTGTTAGTGGCCTCTGATCCTTAAGACTGAGCATGACAGAAAACATAGGGCCTGCCCTTATCCATTTAGCATTGTATTTCAAAGCCTGACATCAGAAAGCGAGTGGCTGAGCTGGGAGAAGCGGAGGATCGACAGCAGTGACAGAAGGGGAGCATCGAGTCTGCTCAGCTTGCATTTGTCTGTTGGAAGGGTGAATTTCCTGCAAGGAGGAGCTCTGAGCTCCCTGCTGCACAAAAGAATTGTTTCCTTTCTTTGTGTTTCTGTTGCATGCCTCTTAAACACTTCAGGTACCTACCCTGCTCTTGTCGTGTCTTTCCTCTGAGGATCTGGATGAAGTTTACTGAATTCTTAAGACTTACAGCCAGATGTCCCATACAGCATAGGCTTGGGTGGCTGCTGGTATGGCAGAAATGGCACTGTCTCCACTGATGCCTGCTTGCTTCCTCTCTGCTGCCAGCTTCTCCTTATCACCATCTCATCACTCTGTACCTCACCAGGTGAGACTGAGTGATGTCTGCTGCTCTTTGCCCCACCGCTTCCCTACCGTTTTCCAGCTCTGCCTCTGCCTTCTTGTTTGTACTTCAGATGGTTCTGTGCTGCCAACTGGGCTGAAATTTCATCATAGGTTATATAGGCACAGCTGCCTCAGCTGCAATCTGCCTAGGTCAAATAACCCTGGCACTGAAGAGCTCAAATGACAGCAGCAGTACAGTGCTTTCTCCCAGCACTGGCAGTACACAGCACGGCTGAGACCTTTGGCACTGATGCTGCTACTCAGTCTGAAGTGAGTCTGGTTTGTCATGCAGACAAATCGAGGATAGCATTGCATCCATAACTTCTGGGTAGATCACCTCCTGAAGATCACACTATCACAGAATTGTTAAGGTTGGAAGAGATCCTCAAGTCCAACCCCAACCCATCCCACCATGCCCACTGACCACATCCCTCAGTGCCACATCTCCATGGTTCTTGGGCACCTCCAGGGGCGGTGACTCCACCACTGCCCTGGGCAGCTGTGCCAGTGCCCAACCATGGGTTACCACCTCCAGAAGGGAGGGAAGGGTAAGTGCCAGTTAGCAGCAGTGTCATGAACCCACCTCTTCTGTAGGCAGTGCAGGGACATGGGCTTCTTCAGAAGGCACATCAGAACACAAAGGTAACTGCCCACGATGCACTTCTGGGGATTCTGTGTCAACTCTGAAAACCCACGTCCTTCACTGGATGGTAGACAAAACAGAACGGTTGTATTTTGCTGAAATTCTTTCAAAAGTTCAGATGCCAATGGGGGAAACCTAAACTCTTGTACCAAACAAAGGATTTCTCATGGACTGATTATTAGCTGTGGCCTTGTGGCAGTGTTAATGTTGTTGAGTCTAACACCAATACTAGAAGTTACATCAGCAATGCATCAAGTAAGGGATGATACAACACATGCTGTTCATATGGCATGCAATTGAAAGTAGGTTTGAAGGAAAGCCCATGTGTTGCAATGCAGCTGCCACATTCTCTCTCCAGATCTCACACACAGGTTCCTAGCTGGGTTTGACACCAATAAGGAAACAAACCTCAGCTATCTAACCCAGATTTTACTCTGAGCTGGTTAGGGAAGAACTTAGGGAGTTCAGTGCATGCTCTACAATACCTGCTCATTGCAGATAATTAGCAGGAAGGTCAGTGTCGGTGGCCTCACTGCTGAGGCTGAACTGGTTTAATTTAGAGAGTCCTCAGGAACTTGGGCATCAAACAGAGTCGCTGAGTGGTACAGGCAAAAGCTTGAGAAATACAGAAATATGCAGAAATGTAAAACAAGGGCTAATTGTTGTGAATGACTCCATTCTAAATGCAGCTCTTTGTGTACTTCTGCTGGCATTTTCCCATTTATACAATAGTAAGAGTTGAGTACTTTTCTCTCTTTAAGAAAATGTGCCCTCCATGCAAATCTGTGTAACTAGACAAATATTATTTCCTTTCCCAGCTTGCTCTTGGGAGGTTTCCATATCCTCAGGTAAGATTGTTCATTACTGCTGTTTGCCACTGTGACATTCATTCCTATGTATGAAGGTGCAGAGAGCAATTGTGAACATTTGAGCCACATACAAATAAATCTGTCCTGTTAAATTGAAAAGTACTATCTTGAAGGAGTCATTTAGAAGTCTGTATTGATTTTTTTTTTTTCCTTTTTCCCCCCAGACTCGAGATTTTCTCTTCCCTGGAGAGAAGCAAAATTATGATGATGTTAATGATTGTTTTGTTGTGAGATTAAAAAATAATTCCATATGTACAGCACTGCTTTTGATGCCAGGAAGATGCATCTACTCCATTTTTCTATATTCATTTTTCAGTTCCAATTTTAAACGGTGTTACAACCGCCTAAAATCATCTCAAACCAAAAATATAATGTGAATGGAGTGTGTAAAAGGATTCTGGATTCTCCCTTTTAAGAGGAGATATGCTAACATGAACCGGTGTTTGTGTTTTATATATATTCTGACATTTTCTAACTCATAAAACTGTTTCCATCTTGGCTATGGCCAATGCCCTGTATTACCACTTTTGCTTTGCATGCTTGAAAAAAACACAAAGCTCTGAACGGAACCATCAATCCACAAAGATGTTTGGTGCTTCCTTTAAATTCTCGTTGCGAGATGGGTGATGGGTGTTAGAATTCATAAGCACAAACTATTCTGTAGTTCTTCAAATCATTCTTTCCTGGGAGAGGGGAAAAAGTGAAGTGTCCAGGGACTAAAATGAATTATTTGAATGTGGTTTTTATGTTTTCTTGTGTTTTATGAGCGCTGCTTTCTGCATCTTGGTCTATACAGATCAGAGTGCCTGGAGGCATGTCTGATTTAAAGGTGGTGTTGGTCTGTGCTCTTTAAGCATCTATTAACTTGCTATTATTATGCAAATAACTGTTGTAATACACATACTAATTTATGCATGGTTAGATTATGCAGATGCCTCACAAACATGGTTATTGAATAATAGGCTGGGACTCATTCTCTCCCATTTTTATAAGCTGTTTTAAGCAAATTCTCCTGACAGTTTTATGGACTTGTAAAGATTTTGCGTACGTGGAAACACACTGATTTTGCACTATATCTCCTGTGGAAAACATTCACTGACCAAAAGCAAGCTGTCATTGGGTACCCAGCAGATTTTGTCCATATTTTCTCCGTGCTGTGAAATGAACCCTCTCCTTTGAGAGTGGGCTGAAAAAGCAGCTCTTGTGCTGAAGTGCCCTCCATGTGTTGGCACAGCCACTGGTGCTCGTTGGGCATCTCAGTGCCCTTTGTGCTAAACCTGAGTGCTGCCCTCTGTGCACAGAGGCATTGGAACTGGGGAAGGAGGTTGGGGTGCATGCACTGTGGATGGCTCCAGACCAAAAACTTGTTTTCTAAACTGGGAGCAGAATGTGATTTTTTTTTTTTTTTTTTTTTTTTTTGCTATTCTAATTAAAAAACAGATCGCATTTGTAAAAGAATACTTGGCAAGTCACTAGGCCATGAAATTGTGTATATTTTTTAATGCAAAACAGTTGAAGAGGTGAAACTTGAAAACGTAGCTATTAAGGTTTTCAGGCAACTGTTTTTTGTGAGGACTTTCTGTGAAGTATCTGCATTTTGGATGCAAGAGCTCATAGCTGGTCACCGGAACCCTCAGCACCTCGCTCTGACCAGGTGCATAATTGTAAGATGGTGGGTTTATTTAATGTCTATGTGAATGTGTAACAGACCCATTCATAACTGAGTGGATCCTCAGCGTGTCGTTGGGTTTGTTGAGGTGATTGAAGCTGGTGGTACGTGGGCTCACAGTGTTTGTCCCCCATCAGCTTGGGCTGACTTCCCTCTGCCACTGGGATGTGTGGGTCTGTGCTGACGAGCACCTGGAACTGCCCACAAAGGAGCCTTTGCCTCCAGCTGTAGCTGAACAAAAAAGGATTTTTTTCCCTCTACTTTTAAGATGCAGACAAATGTTGTGTACAAACTCAGTTTAAATGAATAAGATTTATATGGGGAATCGTTGTAGTGTGGAGATTCAGGACTCCTGCAATGTGCCGGCACAATTAAAGGATGGTTTTTTTATGTGGCCTTTAGTAGAATATCTTAAGGATAAAATTCAGCACTTTTCATTTTCCATGTGTTTTATGAGCATCTATTTTGCTAACACTTATTTGTCACGTTGTCATTATTTAATCTTCTGTTAAAGTCGTGTCTGGGAAGCACTTCAGTGAGCAACCAACTGCGTACGGAAGGGAAGTTGCTTATGGGCTTAGAGTTCATTGTAATCTTTAGATTTTAGTTGTGGAGTTACTGTCGTTTTTAGTCACAATATGCAGTTAATTTCATCATCTGTCAGTAGCTGCCAACGGTGGTGATCTCAGTAAGGAAATGAGGAACAGCAGCGCTTAGAACAGGCTTTCCCACTATGAGAACTCCACAAAGGGAACTCAGATCCTTAAAATGAGGTGACGTGAGAAACGTGGTGAGTGCTCATCACATTTTGTTGTTTGTTTTCCTGGCACGGTATGAAATTCCTTTTGGAAGAGGTCGTGTATGAGACTCATAGGACTTTCTGTAGATGCAAACAGATGCAGTAGGGGTATATTCTTCCCCTGATGCGCAGCTCCATTCAAATAAGCGGAGCGGTGCACACACACACTGGCATGAAAAACTCTTTAGAATAAAGTTATTTCCTATGGAAGCACTGAAAATTGCAAGGAGAGCTCTTTCCCTGCAGCCAGCTGCTGGTACCACTGGTGCAGGCTTCGAGATAAGTGAAAGATCCGCTGATAAGGAATAAGTTCCAGATTTCTTGTAAAAGTTTAATCTTAATTCCTCTGATTTTGGCAGCGGCTTATTCATTTCCACAGAAAGAGCTGTAAAAATATATATATTCAGAATATATATATAAAAACAAGAGAAGGCCACGGGACCTCAGAGCAAATGGAATTAAATTGGAAGCTGGAAGCCCAAAGATGTGCAGTGGCTGAGTGCGCTTCGTCGCAGCGTCAGTGTGGTGTGTAAAACATGATGGGGGCAACGGCTTGTTTCATGCTAATGTAATTTAGGAAAAATGAAAAGAATTGCCCGCTAAATATTCCCGGCTTGTAGTCCAACTTTGCACAAAGCAGGATGCTGGAGGACTGCATCCATTAGGGAGATGCTCTGGAGGAACGGGCAGGCGCTGCCGTCAGCGCTGGGTGTCAGATGTGCTGCATTGAGAGGGACGTTCTGCCTCCTTCAGCCACTGTTCCGAGCCTGGGTTAATAAATGACAGGAAAATGACCCAAAGTTTATAAACCTGCCCCCCCTCCCATGCATACCTCCTGCCCCGCTTCCCCCCACCCCAAATCTGAGCAAACAGTGCCCCCGGTATTGTAAAGCTTTGAACGTTTTCACACTCCATTAATTTATTACTCCTCTTTCCTCATCTTTAAATTTATTTCCCCCACCCCCTCTTTTTTTTTTTTTTTCTTCCCGTTAAAAAAAAGAAAAAAAAAACACAAAAAAACCCCCGGCTCCCCGCTGCTACAGCGATTTTCATCTTGTTGTTAATTTTCCCTGCTCCATATGGAGCTCCAGACATTTCACCTGGAGGCTGTACTAGATTTTGCTGTAGCGATCGCACTTCCGGAGGCCAAAACTGTCATTTAAGGTTCCCGGTGCATCTGTCTACGCCAGGCTTTTCGCTGGCACCGGAGAGCTGGGATAACAAATTGGATGCACCTGAGATTGGGGTGCGGAGCGCGGAGCCGCGCGTCCAGCATCGCCCGAGCGCGGGGAGACGGAGAGGAGCAAATATTTCATCCCGCCTTGTCATTGATTAGAAAAGAGCCTTTAATTTCATTTCACCCCATGTTGTGATTAATTTGCATTCTTTGTCAGAAGTTAATGGAGTTTTTTATGGTTCACTCTGAAATCCTTGAAGACATCAGAGTTGATCTGATGTTTATACAACCGCCAGCGGAATTTTTTCGTGTGATTGATGGAGAGCTTGATGTTATTCCAAACGGCTTTTTAAGCTGTTTTTAAGAATTATTTGAATAAAATGCGAGCGAGATATTGTTATAACGATCAAGATTATCTGTTAAAAATCTGTTTCAAATAAAGAACGTGATAAGTAGAAAAAAAAAAAAAAAAAAAAAAAGATCAGAAAGAGACGAGGGATGATGGATGCCGGAGATGTATTTCTTAAAATATATCATCCCTGCGTTCGAATAACTTCCTTCAAAAGGCACCAAAGTCACACGAACCCTCACTGAACGACTGTTTTGAAGAAGCAGAGTTTAGCAGCACGATGCAGAGCTGTGAGGAAGGGGCTGAGCTGCGGCGCTCGGGTTTTTCCCCTCTGTTTTCCCTGGCATCGGCACGGAGCCGCGGCCCCGCGGCCGATGACTGAGAGCCACCCTTAATTCCCACTGCAAACAAACCTAAGTGGATAATAGGAGGTTTTATAGCCCGAGCAAGCGCTGCACACGTGCCTTTATAAGAAAATATACAGCCTTTATAAGAAAATATACGGCTGAAAAGGCTCAGTGCGTGCCGTTTTGTGCTCCTCCCGTTGGGGAGAGGTCTGTACTTCTTCAGTGCCCGGCACACGGACGGCTCTGGGCCACAGCACAGCCCCACTCCGTGCTTCCAGCAGTGAGAGATCTCCCATCTCTGTTAGCAGAGCTGTTTCATTGCTGCTGTTGGTTTTTGAAGGGGGGGAGGTGGTTCCTTTTATTCTTTTTTTTTCTTGCAAGATTTTGTGTTCCGCCCTCGCTGTGATTTCTGCGGTAAGATTTAATTGTAGGTCCAAAAAAAAGAAAAAAAAAACCAAACCAACCAGGCGCCTTTGAGCGCTCCCATCTCAAACAGATTCATTTGTTTGCTGCGTCTCAGCTTGCAAAATAATTGCGTGGCTTTAAGTGGAGCTGCAGCTTTCTGAGCCCTCTATGAGCGCAGCCTGAGATTCTTTTTGTTATATGCAATCCATACTATTGACCAGATTTGGCCTGGT